TGAATCTGAAAAGGTTTAGGGCCTTGAGTGTGCCAAAGGCCTCTCCCAAAGGCATGAAAACTCCCAAAATCCCAAATCCCCCAACAGCACATCCCCCTAAACCCTATAAGCAGTAACAGTGCAGGTTTTCCGCAAGACTTCGTCCAAGCGCGCAACCTCAGCAAAGAGCGCAAGGAAGAAAGACGCCAGGCCGCGAATGCGGGCCGAGACTTGGCAGCATAGTCACAATGGATATGTATGCCTGCATTGACATGTGCATGTATATATCATATATATATATATACACACCATACATATACATATACATATACACGCATATATATATATGGCCCATTGATTGTGCAGCTGTTTATGTCTTTAAATGGTTAATTAGGCAGAAGCCAGGAGACGCAGGCACAAAGAAATCACAAACATGCATACGCACATGAAAATCTCTGTAAGGGTATGTGTATGTAGGTATTTACCTACGTACGCATGCATACGTACATGGATGAATGGATGGATGGACGAACGGATGGATGGATGGATGGATGTGTGTACATATGTATGCATGCATGCGATGAATGGATGGATGGATGGATGGATGGATGGATGGATGGACGTGCGTATGTATGTTTACATAGGACCGCATGTACTTGTACATATGTTCACATCTGTATGCATATATATATATATATATACACGCACACATACACACATATGTGTATGTATGTATATATATATATGTTCATATTCATGTACATATTTTTCAGTTATTTATTTACACGTATGTATAGGTATAGCTAGACTGAATGTGTGCCTATGCTTGCTTTCTGTGCTTGTTTATTTCAGACTTGTACGGTAGAAAGTGCGTGCACAGGATGCACAAACACACATCGGGGAACACGAGAGGCAAGTATGCTGTGCCGGAAAACTCAGGACATTCTTCCTGCCTGCCTGAGATGTCTCCATCTCAGCAGCTGTGTGCGATTGACAAAGCTCTTGTTAAAGAGTTGAATTCAATTAGCCCCAATGGGGTTACATCGTGAATATTGTTGAAACTTGTTTTTTGGCAACAACCCGGTGCAACTCTTGCCAGCTCCTTTGTGGTGCTCTCGTTCGTTTGCATGGACTGGCAATAGGAGCAACTTCTTCTTTCATTTGTGAGCCCCCATCAGTGCATAGTCCTGTTGTTGTTTTCCAGTCCTCGTCTGACAGCGGAGCAGTGGCCTGTCCGCGCAAGGCACACTTCACGTGACTCACTGCAGGCGGTAGCTTCTTTGAGCAGAATAAGTCCTGGGGGGCATCTGCTCGAGATTAGGGTTCCGAAGACAAGACAGCAGCAACTGCAAGGCCGTGCCTGTCAACACCGCCGCAGAAGGTATGTCGAAGTTGCGACAAGCATCGGGCTCTTGCAACACGATCTTCTGGCTGCAAATGTTTGCAGAAAACCGACAAAAGCCCGAGACCGAACACGCACTGCGAAAAAGCAGCAGAGGCTTTCCGCACAGCCAACCATAGTCCATGTGTTCCGCTTTCGCTACGCGACGAGAGCGCTGTCCAACTGCCGAGAACACCACCGTTTCTCAGGAAAACCGAACAAGCACGAATACCCGTTCTCCCTCATCAAATCGACCTAAGGCCGACGCCGCAGGCGTCTTCCGGTGAAGTTGCAGACAGAATGTGCCAAGGGGGCAGTCAATTACATCGAATGTGCTTGTTAGATCGTTCATCTCATCTGCTTCTATCTGCTCCCCACCGGACACATCCCGTCCAAGTGAATGGCTAGGCTGCCACCGACACCGCCGGCACCACCAACAACAACAACAGCCACAACAGCAACAGCACGAGTGCTTCAGCCACAGCAACAACGACATCAATATAGTTCATTATAGTTCACCACAGTGACCCAACCGTGTCGGGCCGTTGATCCGTCCAGAAATGCAGGTCGTCTCCACGATTAGATTGACTTGCTTTCAGGAAGAGGGCCTCTAGACACATAGCCATGCCAAACGGCTTCAGACAATCCGAGATCAAGCGCTGACGTAAGCATCGTCTTGAGCTCCGGTGGAGCCTCCGTTGGCATAATTCGTGGGCCTCGGTAGTTGCTTGTATAAGCCAATGTTCCTCCATAGTCCCTACACAATGATAGTACAGTATACTATGGCCCCAAACCTCTTTCTCATGATTAAGGCCCAAAAACCCTATAGACTATAGACCTTGCAACACTTAAAGAGGCCCCCCAAAATTAGAGATCACTTCAAGGAGCCTTATCGGAACTCCCCCGGGTTCGCCCAGGTCTTCCCTGGTCTGTCCCGGCATGTTTGGTGCCGGCGTTTATGGAAGCAGCGGCCCCCAGGCGCTGGGGTTCGGCGGGGTGTGGGGTTTAGAGGGATTTTAGGTTTTAGGGCTTGTGGGGTTCAAAAAACAGGGCGTCTGGGGTTTAGGGCTGTTTTGGGGTTTAGGGGGGAAGCTGTTGCGAAGAAAATCTCCGTGAGCTTGGCTTGGCGCCTGTGTTTGCATCATCAGAAGACCTCTAGGCTGTCTGCGTGAGCCATTTCCAGGATGTAGTTCCTTTTCTGGGGTTCCCTTTCTGGTTCCTGAAGAATGTAAAGTTTGTTAAACAAAAGAGGGAACTACAGAATAGAGACCAAGCGTGTCCACAAGCTCGGCCAGACCGGGCCAGACCAGAAGCCCCGAACCCCGTTGCCGACAAACCCGTGAAGCAGTGCTCACGGCGGCGAAAACCACGTTTCTATGTCTAGGCTTTTCTGATGGCTTGGCAGGTCCGGGAGTTGCCGGCGGGCGGAGTAGTTAGTTGTCTTGCCCCTGGAGTTCCGCTGTGCTGTCTTTCCTCCACTCAACCCCTAATAATGCCGCAAACTCCAAACATGAAACCCTTGTTACAGATTGAGGTTGTTTCGAAACAGGAGCATGCATGTCAATGCTAACCTTCAGTCTGCTGCTTGTTAGAGTCTTAGTTTGTCAGCTGGTGGTTTGCTTGGATGCTTGGTAGTTTTTTATATGGTTGTACAACAAGCACACATTCGCTTTGTGGAGACCAACCTTGGTTTGGTGCGGGAGCAATGCCTCCTTGAACACGCTGGCTAAGTTCCACTTCGATCTGTTGTATCTATCTAGGTCTGTTGTTGACGGCAGCTTGCGTGTTCAGACTTGCGTGACGGACTTGTGTGGAGAATGAGAGAGGAAAGCTGCCCTGAACCCACCTGATTCGCCACAGCCAAGCAATGCACCCCCAGGAGGACGGCTGCTTTCCTTGGTCCGAACATAGGGCCCCTTCAGGCCTATACTCGGTGCTTCCAGCATTCCGAAAGAGTGTTAGGGCGCATGGCTTGTTTTAGCTTTAGGCTTGGTGTGGCCTTGTGGCGATTGGGATCGATTGGTACACGAGTATGGGCGATCGTTGGGTGCTATGTGTTTTCTTGTTTTTGCCTTGCGGTGGCTGGTGACGACATGCTTGGCCTCTGCATGCTGATGATGGTGCTACTGCTGATGATGCTGTCGGTACCAAAAACCCCTAGGCCCTAAACCCTCGAACAGGCAGGGGTTATTGCCAAATGACAACGGCTTCTAAGGATGAGTTTCAGAGGGTTTTAATCAGTGTATAAGGGTTGTGCTAAGCAGCCCTGTGTGAACACCTGACGCCCTAAGCCCTGAGCCCCCTAGATCCAAGGATTTGAATGAGCAACTAAGTTCTACGGCCTACGGATTTGCAGAGGCTTAAAGGAAAAAACTCATCGCCTTGGGCCCTGATTTCTTTTGCTTTCCTAGTCGGCCTTTTGCTACGAGTTGCGAGCGGTCGTCCTGCACCCTCTCGCCCACGGCCCTCTGAATGAGGGAGGGTAGGCAGGGATCGTGCCTACTTGCTTCATCCAGGCCGACTCTCGATGGGAATGAGTATGAACCGGTATGAACCTTACTAACTACGTATTGGTATCCTCATTGTTCTTAGAAGCGAAGGTCGCTGGAAGGCTGTCGGTTGCTTCAGCATACCGCGGGGTTTTGGGTACAACCCGTTTGCGTGACTTGTCCTACAGCACAACCCGCGCTAGGCATCGGTAGTCCAAGCTACATACTCCTGCTAGAGTTGTTCTGCTCGCCCCCAGAACACAACCGGATCGTGCAGCTCAAGGAGAATATCCGGAGTTCAAGAACCCCCCCTTCACCTTCGCAGGCAGAAGGTACTATTACAACAGCGCCACCAACGTCTCCACATGGGACAAGCCGGGTGATAAGCAAGCAGACGAAGACGAGGCGGAGAATCTGAGAAGGGTCTACTGAATCTTTGGCTTGGTCGTGATTGCATTTGCCGCCATGGCTGTGGAGTTGCTCCTTATTGCAATGTTCCTACATTGCCCCACGAGCCAGACAGCACCGTCTTAGCGTTTGGGTTTGTGGAGGGAAAGGGGTTCATGTTTCATAGCCACAAGTGGGGATAATTGGGAACACGGTGTGTCCTGGGTCGGTCCTAGGCCCTAGCGTCATGGACCACATGATTTCCTCACTCCAAAATCTGTAGAATTTTTGGGGCACCGAACACGACATGAGTCTGGATGTCGTAAGCTTTTCGCGAGCAAAAACTCTCGAGGGATTCAGTTGTCTCAGTTCATGCCAGTCGCGACCTGATGTTACAATAGCAGCAGGCCTACATAATAGGCCATCGGCCATTATATGCAGACTGCAGTCACCCAAATCCCCGGTTCGAGGACACGTCGGCATCAAGAATGGTAGGATAGGTCCTTCCGGATTGAAGATCAGAGTACGATGTGGCTGACACAGCCGCACCTGGTACGAGATCATGTTTCTTGTCTCTGCGGGAGCTGCTGTGCTGTTGTATATGTATACTCACAGCTGATGCTCTCGGCTGCTGTAGCGCGTTTGCTATCATTTTTGGTCATTGGACATGGGCTTACTTACGTGCGTTTGGCGGATGTTTCCAATGAGCCACAAGCTCTGCATCCATGACACGACCCAAATCCCTGATCCCTCTCCAGGGTGCGATGGTGGCCGTTTCGAGTGCTACCCGGTCGAAGTACGTCTTGCGCAGGGCCTTGTGGGAGCGTAACTGTAACAGAGAGACACAGTCTGGCTGGCATCAAAGTCTTGAGATGCGCCTCTGTCGTACTGCCGGCGAACGCCCGGTGCGCAGAACAAACAGAAACCCCTGCAGGTTTACACAAACGTGTCATACATACATATATATTTATTATAATATATATAATATATATATATATATGTAAATATCTATCTACGTATGTAACTGTATACATACATATGTATGTATGTATGTATGTATGTATGTATGTACATACGCATGTATGTGTGTCTGTATGTGTGTATGTAACTATACATACATGCGTTGAAATGTCTACATAGATAGGTAGAGGGATCTATAGATACAGGTAGATAGATTCAGGTATACAGACATGCTTTAAACAATTTGTCACTCAAGTAAACCCTAGGGCCGGATGCTAGTTGTCTCGGCCTCTTCAGCGCGCAGAAAATCTCAAGCCTCACCCCCCGTCAACCGCAACAATGGGACAGGAGCACGTAAGGGCGCCTCTGACCCAAGGTTTGTGTTAAGGGTGCAGGGTTATCATGCCTGCTCAGCATATTGTGCCAAAAATTGCTGTTCTGGGGTTCGCGTCCGCGCTCACTCCAGGTTTTCGACAAAGTTACCGTCCCCAAATTACACGATTTCTTGATCCATGCCCCTAATTCCGAATATGCTGAACCAGAGTCGAAGCTTCCCCTACAGTCTTTGCCACCCACCCTTGCACAGAATTCTTAAATATCTGAGCTATCTCGAAACCCCGAGACCCCGAAATGTTGTAACCCTTAGAGCACAGACTTCTTGGGGCTTCTGGACACTTGTTTGGGAGACGGAAAAAGCTTCAAAACAAGAAGAGCACTTGGGGGAAACGCACTGGCCCCGCAACCCCAAAACTCCACACAACCCCCAAACTCTAAAGCCGAAGCCCCCCCAAAGCGCTGTAGGGAGGTTCGGCTACTGCTTTGGCAGTTGGAGAACCCTAAACCCCTGAACCCTGCAATGTTGGGCTCGTCCTTGCTAAGTAGGAGGGAAAAACGCCCCTGAACCCCAAACCCCGAGTCCTAGGAGAAGTCACCCAAAGCTCCGGCCGTTCGTGCCGTGACCTCGTCACGGAGCCTCAGAGGTCGGCCTGTAAGACTATTGAAGGAGTACTTTGAGGGTTTGACTAAGGGCCAGGGTTTATCGGGGGTGAGGGGATCCAGATGGATTATTATGGGGATACGGTGGGGGGTCATGCTATAAGGATTTAAGGGCTTACTGCATCGGGGTCCAGGCTCATGACAAAATACAATGATTAATTAATTTAGCACCTAAACCATAGGTTCTTGAAGTCGGAGGCTTGTGACTGGGAACTGTAGTTGTGGTAGAGATCTGTGGGCTCTTATCTCCCCCGGTTATTCTATTCGTAGTGGATAATGCTAGGAGCCGATCTCTATCCGTAGTACAGTTGTCGTTGTCATCCTATCCAACCTCGCTTGTGGGCATAGATCCTCAGCCATGCGAGAGGGAAAAAACCAAGCCTAGCCAAGACCTCAAATGGCAAGAGCGCGCCCCCTGACATCCTTCACGGCTCCCGTGCTCAATGCCTTCGTGCTCTCGAACTAGAGGGAAGAAGTATCGTCGCCGGAAAGAAGTTGTTTCTTGTGGGAGTCGCAGAAACTAATGGACACTGAATTCTGCACCGTAGACTGTAACCGTGAGAAGTAGATCTTTTGCAGATCGTGACCTCTCAGCCACCGACACCACAGATGAGGGCGGAGAATAGGCTGTGAGGGCTCTTCCCCGAAGGCTCCTGTGCACATGTACGGGATGTCTTCATCGTGTAAGACTGCTTCCCCCATCCTCTTCACCTGCGTTCTCGACTTCCACATTCGACACCTAGCAGGACACATTGAGTCGAAGAGTCCTAGCCGATATGGTGGCCTGCCTGCATCGAGCCAGACCGATGCTGAATGTGTGCCGGTGCACCTGCGTGTGGCAAAGTGCATGGGCAAGGGAATACAAGGTAGCCCAAGTCTGAAGAGGATCCACAGGCCTTGGTATTGGTATTTGCTTCATTCAGCCGGTCCTCAGGATCTAGAATCTAGTGTGTAGTGCAGTGGCATATGCTTCAGAGGACCGTGTCTTATGCAAGCCCCGAGAGCCTTTCAAGCACTTGAGCCCCGAGCTTGTCAATCCCGCACCAAGCCCTGTCATTGCTGCTTGGTATCTGAGGAAATCTGCGGAATGACGTCCATGGCCGCAAAAGGGAAAGGGGGTGTTCAGTATGGTCAGGGGTGCCACGATCCCCCGGGGTCCAAAGCACGCAGTTGATCCGTAGGGCCGTAGGTGTGCGGGTTTAGGGTCACAGCGATGTAGTCATGTAGGTCAGTACTTGGGAGGATAGATTGAGTCGGGTTCGTTCTGCAAGAGAAACCCGTGACTCCTGCATTTCTTTTCAACATATCCAAGCCATGACAGACACATGAGGCTGCTGGTGGCGGCGGCGCAACCCATGGTGCCTTTGGTGTAGCACAATAACTTTCTCTTTTCTGGTGAGTGAAGCTCACAAAGAACTGCCAGCAATGCGACCTGTGGCCATCGTCCAGTCAGATTGAATCACCCTTGTTGCTGGTAGTGCAATCGTCCATTCGAATTGAGTGACAATTGTTGCTACTCGTGGTACACTGTTAATTGGCTTGAGACGGTTGTCGAGTTGAGCTTGTCCTGCTGGCTTAGGATGCTTGATCGATCCGCGCTGGGGTACAAAGCTATTCTGGGACTTCTTCGCGACTTGGGCTGAAGCTGCATTGCGGCATGGGACGCAACACGAATCCTCTCATGGCCTATAGCTATAGTGATGCTTTTCTGCAAGACGCAAGGTCATGTTCGTTGTCCTGGCCGACGCATTGATCCTCCCCTTCCAGCTCGCGTTCAAGACGCTTTGCTTGAAATCGCAGGTCAGAGGAAGTTCGTTCGGGCAAGGCCTTTGGGCTAAGGCTAAGGGACAGTGAGCCCTGAGAAGCGGCGTGCAGCACTTCTTCACACTGACTAAGGAATGACAAGCAGGACGGCTTCGACGAGTTTTGGTTTTGGTGGACAACGATCCTTTTCGGTCGGGGCCTCAACTTTGCCTGTGGCTGCACATTGCCATCACCAGAGAGAGGGCGCGGATCCATTAGCGTGTGCAAACCCGTTTTGCTTCTGCATGCGCAACTGACTCATGCAATGGCGTGCTTACTTACAGTATCTTACAGTACTGGTTCATTCGCCTACCCACTATAGTCACCAATCACCGACTCCGTGCCCGGCGCCCTTCCAGACCACATTTCCGTCGCCCACCCGACGGCCACGATGCACTCTGCTTCTACGTGCCAGCATCATACCTCTGTGACCGTGGGCTCGTGCTCAAAATTGTCATCAGGCAGAAAGACATCAAGCGACCATGGTGGTCAGCATGAAAAGAAAACAGCTTTTGTGATGCAGGCGCGACACGCCGAAAAGTTATGGTCGTAACCGTTTTCGAAATCATTATTTGTGACTGGTCATCGCCACCGCCGCTCCTGTCTCCAGCATCTCTCGCAGTGTAGTGTATTGTCTTTTTGTTTTTCTCTGTATTTTCATGACCGGCACAAGCACCTCTCACAGTGCCTTTGCAGCTTTCTCGCACCCTTTCCATTTACTCGTCGGTCATGGGGCGTGCCAACTGTGCCCAAGATAAAAGGGTGCTGGTGTGCATTCGAGAGCTGGCTGGCTTTGCGACAGCGAGAGATCTCAGCTATTGCTTTGTGTTGAGTCTTGGCGTGAGCCGACTGTTCGCCTTCCCTTGCCTGGTCATGAGTGCCGTCGGGCACATGCTTCAGTGCTAAACTTTTAACCCGGTGTAGTTAGTCGTCGGCGACAGCATTTTACCTGGTTCTCGTGAAGTACTTGGCCATGCTTCGGGCAGGGCTTGAACACGTGGCCCTTTTGCAAGTTAGAAGCATACTTCGTTGGGGCATCAGTTGGTTCCTCCAGCTTCAAACTGACTTGCACCCAGGCATCGACATCATTGCCAACTTCAACACAGCGATCCAGGTGGATGATGATGGCAGTCGGCCAGATGCGTTGATCCGCGACAGGCGGGAGACTCCTCGCGCTAGGGCCGCGGTTGAATCCAAAAGGTGCCGATCTTTGGCCCTTCGCCCTTAGGCATTTCCTTTGCACCTCCCCTATGCACAAGTACGTAATCGCTCCTTTGGCAGGCGAGCCATCGCCCTTGTCTACGCCTCTTAGCTGCAGTCCGATTTTGAGGTTTCTGGCATTGGCATGAAAGCAGCTGAAGCTTTGAATCAACCCTGAAGAAAAGACAGCGAATGGTAAAGGGTCGTTCAACAAAGAAGACACTAAAGTCCCTCAGTGCTACCCGAGTACCATAAACCCCAAACGCTCGGCGTTCTCAAATTCAAAACAGGCCGTCTCCCCAATGGATCACACTTGTTGCTCTCCTTTTCTGAGGCCCGAGGTTGGTTTGGCATCGATTTCTTCAGCACTGCCCTGCACCCAGCACCAGGGAAGATATCAGCTATGCAGAAGGCTATCGGGGCCTCGGGGATTATTGGGATGAGTATTGCGGTTATTGTTATTATTGTTGTTCTAGCTCTTGCTATTGCTCCTCTGCTGATGCTGCTGGTGCTGGTGGCGGCGGTGGTGGTGGCGGCGGCGGCGGTGGTGTTGTTGGTGTTTTGCTGGTGTTGCTGCTGCTGCTGCCGCTGCTGCTGCTGCTGCTGCTGCCGCTTGGTGCTGGTGCTGGTGTTGGTGTTGGTGCTTCTGCTGCTGGTGGTGGTGGTGAGGTCAGGGCATGATGGCACATGACAAATCAGATGCAGAAGACCAGAAGCATTGACATGATAAGAGAACGATGGTTCGGTCGTCATTTTGGCGAGAGGAGTAGGACTGTTAGAAGTCATGGTGGTGGGGGAGCAGTGATAAAGAAAATAACAATTGTCGTCGTTGTTGGTTGCGATTGTTTCATGCCTGTGCATTTTGGGACTGAGCATCCGACAGTTTAGGGTTTAGGGTTTCTCGGCCTTATCCGATGAATAGATACAACTTGAGGCTTGGTTGCTTAAGGGCTAAGGGGTAGCAGGGTTTCGAATTTAAAGCTTTGGGATTGATGCTGATGCTGATGATGCGAAAACTGCCAACGTGCAGCAATGGGACGTGGCAGTTTATCTCTTCAAGGCTGCATGACCTCACGGACTGCAGTAGTCAGTTCTGTAGTCGTTGGGGTAGTTGAGCCTGTTGCACCAGTACAGGTGAAAGTGGGAGCCCTGGTGGCCGAAGTGGGCATAGGACTAGGAGTTGCGGTGCTCTAGCAGGAACAGTAGCTGCTACACGTAGTACCGGTACGAGCAGCAGCAGTGGTCGTACTGGTAGTGTTCGTCCTCGTAGTAGCCTTCGAAGCAGTTGTGCAGAAGAAGTGGTAGCAGTAGTAGGCGCAGCAGCAGCAGCAGTAGTAGCAGCAGCAGTGGTAGTGGCAGTAGTTATGATAGTAATACGTAGCAAAGGTAGTAGATGTACGTAGTAGTCGTCGCCGTCGTCGGAGCAGCAGCAGCAGCAGCAGTAGCCTTGCTAACAACGAGGATAGCACAGACTTAACTCATGAGGTGAACCAGGAGGTGACGTTCGTCAGCACTTGAAACTGCTCGCATATTTTTCCCTAGACTTCAATACAAAGCCCAGGTTCCGTGGCCGCGCTTGGTCTCAATTTTTGCAGGAGGAGAGGAAGGCCGCGTGCCGGAATGACCGGAAGCTTCGTCTGGTTTTCGTTTCTGGGCATTGCTGCATGGTTTGCTCTGTTCAGCACTATGAGATGCTGAGTAGGGCTACATGTTTCTGTTCTTCCTCCAAATGTATTGTTATTACCGACATAAACCAGCAGCATTTGCAGTATGGTTGCTTTTGCTTGGTGGGATTCTCAGCATTTAGCATGATCAACTATGCTATCTGCGTGTTCTTGAAATCGCTTCAGATACTACTTCGCCTAGGTGGAGCGTTGGCAGCTTGAGATGTTGGGGTTGAGATTCCAGGGCGGAAGCAATGCTACTCGGGCCTTGAAAAGGGCTCCAATTCATTGAATCGGCGAGAATCACTCCCTCCGGGGCTCCAACATGCTGCAACCCGTCTTCACTGTGCGTCGTTTCTACGTTGCCTCCAAAGCCAGACTGTGAGACCATGCAAGCCTAATCCTGACAAAATGTTGCCGGACACCTGCCCCTGAAGCACTGTGTGTACCCCTCGCAGTGATTGTCAGGTGGCGGCTCTACTCAAGCCGCCAAGCTGCTGAAGGCTTGGCCACCTGGGTTTGGTGGGGTTGTGGGTCCGGGTCGAGAGTTGTCGGCTTAAGACAGATTGCGGGTACTGCTTCGAGGGTGAATTCCAGATACTCTATGGTTTAAAGATCTGTGGCTCGGATTAAGACATTCGTTCGGGCAGTTCCTAGGGTGCACTGGTATAGATGAAGCAAAACATGGTACCAATGACGTGGGTCAGATCTGACAGTATGAGCTAATGTCAAGTTACTATGAACTTCAGGGGAGCGCAAACACGAAATACAGACAAGTACGAAGCCTCCCCGCCGATCTCGCCAATTCACGTGCGTGGGAACGGTCGTATTCACTTAATGTTTTTGTTCAAGTCTCTCGCGTGTACGGTATGCTTCTCACATTGTTCGAACGACATCACGAATTCCGGAACGATTGTTTTTTTCTAGGTAGCCTGCACCATACCCATACACGAATTGAATATCACACAAAAGTTTGTGTGCAAATACATATGTATGTATATATATATATTATATATATATATCTGTGTGTGTGTGTGTGTTTGTGAAATAGGTGTGGGGAACCATGAGACGAACTAATAACAATTCCGGCCACCTCCCGAATGGACATGGCCCGGTCAGGACTGTTCTTGTTCTTGTCATACATAATTCAAGACGTTTGTGCGAGTTCTCAGTTTTTGCCGCGGTCAAACGGAAAATGTCATCATGCGAAACAACGTGAAGTAAATGTGGGCCAATAGAAATACGAAGTAACAAAAACGAACTCTCCCACCTCTGCCCACCTCCCCCATCCACAGGACCCGGGTTGGGACGGTTCGTGTTCATGCCAATGTGTCCTTAGCTGGGTGTTCTTATGTGTTCGGGTTAATTACAGGTCAACTTCGTATTCAGTTCGTTTCTTGAGAGTATGCTGGGTTCTGCATTGGAGCCTGGCCCTTCGAATAGTATGTATGTAATGTCGCAAACAGCGAGGCATAACGCAAAGGCTTCCAAGCGATTCAACAGGCCCGACGATGGTCTCCCTCCTATGGCTGAGCCTGCTTTCGGGGAGCCTGCAAGCATTCACCCGGCAACAACAACACCAACAACAACACATGGCACGGACCAGAACAATACTGTTTGCAAGAAGCAACAGTATCATCATAGACTCTTGGCACCCAGATTCTGAGGAGTAGAATTGCGCCGTCATCACCACCATGGTAGTCCATTGCCAGGTTTTGCTTGTGCACAGCCATCCCAACATCTTCTCGGTCCCGGGACAAGCGCAACAGTGCTGATCGCTATGTCGGCAAACTCCTGCAGTACACCCTAGGCACCAGTTCAAGTATACTCTGAGTGTCCTAGTTGGGAGCGGCCCAAACCCTCAACCCTTGTGTGCAATATAATATCTATCTATCTATCTATCTATCTATCTATCTATAATACTACGCATGTCGCATTATACTACATCAGAATATACGATTAAGGCCCCCTATATTACACTTTTCAGCAAGGATGTTCGACGCATCTCCTGCTCACCCGCATCTGCATGGTGGGTATGTTCTCTCGAGATCCCTGCGGTGTGACGCTGTCAGCTGGGCGGGTGGGAAAAATGGTCGAGATTTAGAGAGTTGCTTTCGACGTTGCAGCGCAGGTGGTGAAGTTCCTCCGCCTGATGAGGCTGATGCGGATGTTGCTGGGCTGATTTAGCTTTTGCACGTACCTGGGCGCCACTGCAAACAGTCCCGCCCGCAAGAAGGCTGTTCGAAGTGAGGTCTGCATGCAGTGTCGCAGACTTACCTCTACCTAGGTTCGAGATTTCACGCTCTACAACTTGCGACTTTCCGGTAGCATATTTTTTCTGTCGTGATGCACCCGGAACCCCCACGATCCGGAGTCACCACGATCACAGACAGGCAGTCGGAGCATCCCGAATTGTCGGGTCAATCGACAGGACCGTGCTGACGTTTGACCCGTGCAGAGGGCCGACGGAGAAAGACGATTCAAGAGCACGCGGTGTTTGTGGCGAGAACTGCAATGGCTTGTCTACCGGCCAGAAAAAGCAGCAACGGCAACGGCAATAGGTACCGCGGGCACACCAGCAGCATCAACAACAACAGCCGCACGAACGACAGCAGCAGCAACAGCAAGAGCCATCGTCATCGTCATCATCTCATCTCATCTCATCCCCATCGTCAACATCATCAATCTCATCATCATCACCGTCATCCGCAGGCCTTGTGCGTGTCAAAGCAATGTTTCAAGAGCAGAGCGTCCGAGGCTCCGGATGGCGAAGCTCCGACCCTTGGGCAAGCATTCAGGCGTTCTGAAATGGATGTCGCCTTGAAAATCATGCTGACGACGTGTCGACCGTACTCTGAGAGCTCTAGCCCCAGGGCCGTTTCGGTCAACCTCTTCGCCCATTAGTCCGAGCAGAAGCCCAGATGTTTTGTCGGATTCGGAATTTGGTGAGAAAGATTCAGCAAATCTAAAGTCCGCTATTTTCCCCCCCGCTTTTCAGCACGGACTTGCAGCACCATCGATAGAAGCAGACACGTGAACCAGCAGTTCCGATTTCCGTATACTGCCTACACCAGTGAATACGTGTATGCACGCAAAGCCGTCGCCAATCTAACAGCGGAGCAGTTTGCTGAGGAAAGCTTTGGGAGCGTGTTGAGGACGAGATTGGCTCCGTGCTGTTGGTGCAGCAACTTGTCAGGTCAAAATGCCTAGGATCCAGAAGCCAGATTGAAAGTCTACAGGCATCGGTTTGTCAGGCCCAAACATCGGCTGAGGGGAGGTTTCGCCTGTTCGTTTTTTCCAGGCTGCTGGTACGAGCTGTGCTCAGGTCGATGATGTTGGTGCGCATCCTCGTCATCGTGGTTGCCATCTGCTCTTGGGGAAGAAGTCAGGCATTTTTCGAAAGCCTCACCATGACCCAAGCTTTAACATGATTGATATGGTCTTGTGTGGCCGAAGCGCCTCCACTCCAAGGCCACTGGAGCGCGTGCATCTTCTGGATTGTTGGGAGTCCAGCCTCTCGTCCAGCAAGTAGCAAGGGAGACAAAACTTGAGCTTGCAATGCTTCTGTCATGAGAGGTCTCGACGAAGGCAGCATTACGCCATTAAGCACCCGCCCATATCCAATTTAGAATGTTTATATACATTTTTAGATATGTTTTATAGCCCACATACACACACTAAACTCATTAAACAATAAAGAATTTCAACAAGCAAGCCAAGAACACAGAAAATGTTATAATATATGTGTCTGTATATACATACATACATACATACATATATATATATATAGAGAGTTATTTATTCATGTGTAGGTGGTCTGCATGTACGTATACATAGACATACACACAAAATCTATCTAGGAATGTAGAGACACGTACATACAGATAGAGAGCATGTGGGGGGAGATCCTAAGCCTTCAACCCGAGCCATGGACGTAGCCGTGCTGTGTATGAAGGGGTTCCTAAACTGCGAGGGGTCCCTTCTTCACGAGTCCTTGAAGCGAGGATCCCATTTTTCAGGAAGCCAGGCTCTATTGGGGTCCTTCGTTCGCTGCTTTTGAACAAATGTCTGGCTCCCTGAGTGTCTACAACCTGAAGCCCAGAAACCCTGAAACACCGAAGCGGCTTAGTGGACTGACACGAACCCTGAGGAAAGCCTTATCACCGATCTCATGCCCCAAGAGATGGCTGAGGAGACCTGCTTTCAACTCAATGAGAACCACCGGTGTTCACAGTTGTTGTTGTTGGCATTGCCCGAGACCAGTATTGCTGCTATGAAACTGAGGGTGGTGATGATGCTGGACCCGATGGGATGTGCGTGATGCAGATGAGGTCAGGGCCTGGTGGAGCATGACAAAGCAGATGCAGAAGATCGACAATGTTGACATGATCACACAACTGGCGAGAGGAGTAGGGGTGGTAGAAGTCATGGTGGTGGCGGAGGTGGCAGCAGTAGTAGTGTGAATACTATTGTTAACCATGGCACTAACAGTGACGATAAAAATGCCAATCACTAATCATTATACTGATGATGATTGTGATTGTTGTTGTTGTTGCTGCTGTTGTTCCTGGTCCTGGTCCTGGTCCTGGTCCTGGTGGTGGTGGTGGTGGTGGTGGTGGCGGTGGCGGTGGTGGTGGCGGTGGCGGTGGTTGCAGTTGCCGTTGCCGTTGCTGTTGCTGTTGCTGTTACTGTTGGCGTCGTTGTTCTTGTTGACGTCGTCGTTCTTGTTCGCGACGTTGTCGTTTTGGGCGTGGTGTCGTCGTCGTCGTTGTTGTTTCTGCTGTGAGGTGCTTTTGGTTTTGGTGGTGGTGCTGCTGTTGCCGTCCTTTTGGAGTTTCAACGATCCACGTGCACAAGACAAGGGGACGCTGCAAAGCGTGCCGGCACACGACACCCCGGCCGCCTCTCCAAACACACGTGAAGCAAGCCCTCCCCGATGTTGCAAACTCCGAACCGAATACTTGCATGGATTTAGTCGGATGCGGCAGGGGACACCGATGATGCTTGCAGCCTCGTCTGACAGGAGTTTGCCCAGGTCCCTCATTGGACCACCATCTTCAGGACCGAGCGATCCTAAAGCCTAAAGCCCTAACCTGCATGAGAACAACAATTGAAAATCGGGATGCAATCGGGAGAGGCAGGAAAAAGTGCTGCAGCAGATTTGAGGAGAGTGTGAGCTGTCGGCCCTCAACGGAACTTCCAGTGCTCCCCCAACAGCTGTTGAGAACATTCTTGGCTTCTGACCAGGACGCACGGTCCGGAGCAAGAGGTTTGGCGTTGGGTTGACCGGCCCACATCAGAGTCGTGTCTTGGCCTGTCGGTGGGACGAAAGGCGGCGACGATAAGGGAGTTTTGTAGGGCAGGTGTAGGGCAGGGGCGGGCCGCTTGCTGTGGAAAACGTGGATTCTTGGGAGCTGCAGGATGGTGCTGTTGCATCATGTTGCATCGAAGCTATCAGCAATCATGTTTCTGTACGTCGCTCGTCGCGCTGCAGGTACATCTTCTGCTTCTATTGGACACTGGGAGTTATGAGGCCCGGAGCTGCCGAGTAAAGCTACGCGGAAGAACCCGATGCCTCGTCTGCCCGTCCGAATCGCTAGTGCAACGATGCCCTGTGCTGTCGGCACTTTCGAGATGATTTCAGCCTCAGTAAAGCTCCTGGCCATTCGTGCCGCCACTCCGTTCTTTGCAGGACAATGCCTGCCGAGGTCACTCCAGCAACCCGGCGATTTCGTGTGTCTTTGTTTTAGTCTCAAATACATTTTAGTGTGTAGATACTGCGCGGCTGGGTCTTTAACAAGCACTTCTGACAAGTCATGTCTGTGTCTGTCAACCAAGAGCCAAGGTCAATTTGGCTGAGCGCGTTTTCGTGCTTCTCTTCATGCTCTTCAACCGCATTTGTTGGGTTCCATATATAATATGTGGCAGACGCAGGAAACTGGTGTACAGCCGTGAGAGACCTGCACATACTTAGACTGTTAGAAAGGGTTCCTGGTCCTTTAAGGGATACCCAAAGGAGTAGCATTACGATGCAGGCTTCTATAATTATAAAGCAACTATGTCTATGTCCTAGTTCATGCAAAATCATGCAAAGGGTCCTTCCTCTACTGGGACTATAAGCTTTCTGTGATTCGGGCAGGACTCCTCGTTGTAGGGTATTGGGCTCTCTAGTGCCTCGACGCCGTCCCGAGGTTCTTCGCCCTTTCGGCCTTTGCCATCTCGGCACCCTTTGCTGCATCTACATCGGTTTGACAGTCTGTCTTGCAGGATTGACCCTATCATTTTGGTACATGTGCCATGTGTTTCAGGGTACCTTGTGTTCGGAAACATCTAGAGGGACTTCGCATGTCGGGTTCGTGGCAGACAAGGCCGTCAGATCTTCGCTTTTGTATGCAGCTGCTGCTTCAGCAGCCGCCGCTCTGTGATTTATGTCCCAATCGGCATAAAAAGCCGTTGGCCACAAGCTCATGAAGCACCGGTGTCGTCTGGCCACATTAGCAGTGAAGACCACCAGTAGCAAGCAGTTCCCCATCGTCTTGTCCCAGACTTTAGACCCTGGAACCCCAAAAGCTCCATAATATACCATAAATAAATAAATAAATATATATATATATATTATCATATACTCTAACATACTATCATAAAAGCCCCAGATCCCTGAAAGCCCCGACTCGACGAGGTGGCTTCGCTCACGCAAGCCTACTTCAAGATTTCCGAGCGCAGCCGATCTTTCACGGATGAGCTCTTCGCTGTGCCTGGGTGGAGACTTCGGAACCACTTGATCCTACAAGGGGGGGGGGGAGGGGCGAAATAATTAGCATAGGGTTCTGGTGTCGCGGCCCTGAAGTCTTTCGAAGAAGATAGGGTTTTGGTGGTGTTTGTATGGTAGACGCATCGCTAGGGAAGCCTCCGAAATGGTGTTCGTAATTATTCAGGACCCCATATAGGGGTGGCTTCTGAGGATTCCAAAACAGGGATGTCTCTACTTAGGGAAACTGCTACATGGGTTTTAGACCTCGATGTGTCAGCACCACGGCAACATAGGAGCTACCGAATGTAGGTAGCTTCCACACTTGTGGGATTGTCAAAAGAAGATATATATATATATCGACAGAAAAGCCATGAAGATCGAACATGAAGATTAACTCGTGTTCAACATCCCTGCAAAATTGGATCGTCACCGAGGTGCGTATGCTCATGAAGAAGCTGAAGATGGATCAAGGATGCAGGAGACACAGGGTTCGGGGGTTTAGTGAAGTTTAGTGTTTATAGAGGTCTGTGGCTGTGGCTTCCGATGGGCTCGGCAAGGATTGCGAATGTCGCCAACACGCTCCCACCTAGCTTACTCGACAGGAGAAAGATCAAGGAGTTCTTGGCGCTCATGTGCCTTGGTTTTTGTTTGGTAAGCCCAGAAAGATCCTCCCCCCCCTCCCCCCCATCCTTACAGTCCATCCTCGATCGGCCTGCCCTTTGCATTTAGCAAGAAGCGCTGCTCTTGGCATTGTCATTGCCATCCACCAGGCCCGAGGTACCAGGTCACACCTGGTGGGTTTTGAGATGTTCTGAAAGACCTTGCGACTTCTGCTACCGGTGGAACATCTGGATTTGTCAAGAGCTTGAGACACTTACACCGGATCGCACTCGGGCTTGCCATGTGGGAGCCCAGAATTGCCCAATGTTCATAAAGGTTTCGGTTTATGATGAGGTCCTAGCTGCAAGTCGTCAGAGTTCCTGGTGTTCGAGTTGGTGTTGTAGTGCTGTGCACACCCGGGATTTGAGAAACCCAATCAGTGTGCACTCTCGCTTAGAAAACTTGCAACCCCACGCCCTCACTCCCAACCCACCTTGCCTGCGTCTGAGTGTTGGTACTGCAGCTCCTGCAATGCATTTAACACATCGCCCCGCAGTTCATTTCAAGCCCGGTACATGGCCCCGCCCGTCCCCCCAGTGCTGCTCCTGCCTAGCGTGAAATCCCAATGACTTCAACCCAGGAAGTGATGCAACTTCCTTTCTATTGGTCTTGCTGCCAAACCTTGCAATGCGGGCATTGTCCTAACTAGGCGAGATGCAAAGAACCTGTCTCCAAGGATCCGATCTTCGATTGCTTATAATTAGGGTCTGTAGGTAATTCGGCTTCCCAGGCAACCCCTGAACCCTAAACCCTGGATGCCTCGCCTGGATTGTCCGAGCGCGAGCGCCGAAACCCTGGATGAACATGTTTACCATATACCCTAGTGCGAGGGCGTGAGGTTGAAGCTCCAGGACCCTACCTAACCCATCTTCGAGGTTCGAAAGGCGACGGATCATGGCCAAAGAGGCAAATCTGATCAAGGTGTGACCCGGCCGCAGAAACACAATTAAATGCAGTACAATGTAGCATAATTGTACCACTGGAAGTAGCCAACCTGGCAACCTCCCCTCTGGAACCTGGCCTGGCTAGTTCAAGAGCACACCCACTCAGGACTCTGAGCCAAGCCCCTCCGAGTCCTTTGTCCATCCCTAAGTTTCGGGCTTTAAGGAACTTTAAGGCTCTACGTCCGTAAAGACCGCTCCACGAAGCCTGCAATCTACAACTCGACATCCCAAAACCCCATAAACCTTGCTCTGAGGCTGCCTCAAAGGCTGAAGGACGAGGCCGCACCCTGCAGTGCCTTCGCGTTTTGGGTTTAGGGCCTAGGTCCTAGGGCTTTTCGGGTTTAGCTTGGCTGTGGTTCTGCCCACTCAGGGCGCCCTAGCATGGAAATTTGGATAAGTACAGGTTTGCCAGAGTTGTACAGTATTATGACAAGGCCTTGCGCCCCGGCAGAGGTTCTTCGAGCAGGATTTCCAGCGTCTGGGTTTCTACAAGGTCTCGAACGGACTCGATCATGCTGGAGACCTCAGACTAACAACAACCGCCTCTTCTCCTCAAGGGCTAAAGCTAGATTTAGGTTTGCTGGTAGGACAGGGCAGTTGTCGACTGCAGAATCAGACCGTCACTGCACAACGTAGAGGGGCCTGGAGACAAATGGCCGTGAACGCCACGGTGTTGCTAGCATCGAAGCCCGCATGACCCTTCCAAGGGGCCAGCCTTGATCTGATGTCTGAGATATCCTTCCGACAAGGGTTTAGGGCAGGGCTTAGAAAAAGCTAATGAGAATGTCAACAAGGAGGCTAACACAGGAAGATGTGTAGGCGTTGGGCTAGCAGGGGAATCTGTCCTAAAGAGAATGAGGTTTTACAGTGAGTACAGCTTCATTGAAGGAGCAGACCCCTTTTCCCAAGACGCCAGTACCTAATTATGGTTGTTCCCAAGCCACTTACGGAATATACATATATGTGTGTATATATATATATACATATTTATTTATGTATTATTTAACTATTTATATATTATTGTATTTATTTATTATTGTATCTATTTATTTATGTTTTTATGTATTTGTTTATTCGTTTATTTGTAATAAGTGCATATACATACACACACACATATATAAATAGAGAGTATATCTATATATCTATCTATTTATCTATCTATCTATCTATCTATCTCTCTCTCTATCTATCTCTCTCTCTCTCTCTATCTCTCTCTCTCTCTCTCTCGATCTAGCTAACCTGTCTATCCATCTGTGTGTGTCTATCCATCTATCTGACTATATATATATCTCTCTCTCTCTCTCTGCCTGCCTCGCTGTCTGTCTCTGTCTCTGTCTGTCTGGCTGTCTGTCTGTCCTTCCTGTCTGTTCCTCTGTCCTTCCTGCCTGTCTGTCTGTCCGTCTCTGTTTGTGTGCCTGTCGGTCGTCTGTCTGTCTGTGTGTCTGTCTGTCTGTCTGTCTGTCTGTCTGTCTGCCTGCCTGTCTGTCTGTCTGTCTATACATCAATCCGTCTATCTATCTTTCTTTCTGTCCATCTATCGGTCTATCG